CCCCTTTCCTGACCTCCCCTGGGCTTCCCCCATTTCCTGGCCTCCAGTCCCCGCTCCACGTCCCCTGGCTGTGCTGCACAGGAGAGGGGCGACTGTCCTGCTGACACACCATCCAGTACAGTCTCACGCTTACAGCAAGGCCTCGGAGCTACAGCTACACTGTGCACACTTCGAAGATGCTGAGAGCACTTACATACGCAGAAACACATGAGATGCCTTAAAACAAAACTCTAAGCGGAGCCAACGTGAGCTTACATGGACGTTTAAGAAGCCTACTATGAACCTGGAAGGGGATGGACAGCCTCTGTCCACCAGCACCTGCCGAGGAGGCGATGGAATGTCCTCAGGCGGCGTCAGCGCTGTGGGCGTGGCCAGGACAAGCGAGAAACTGCCTCACTTGGTTTGGTTTTTGTAAATCTAAACTCAGGAGTCTCTGGTGCCAACAGTGAATACTCGGCCAGGGGTCGAAAGTTGGGGTGTCTAGCTCCCCCATTGAGGTCCAGCACTGATGAGCAGGGGACCAGGAACCGGCTCGTCAGCCCCACAGCTGTGGCCCCTAGAAGGTGTGGCGTCCTCTGCAGACACCTCCGCCGTGCTGTCATGAGGACCAAGACCCCAGGTCTCTGAGGGCATTTAGAGGCCAGGTCCACATGAAGGACAAGAGCTCAACAGTGAGCCGAGCACGGGCCCAGAGGTGACCCTGCCGCTTGTCCACAGGGTCGTTCACACACTGGACACACACACACACACACACACACACACACACACACACACACACCTGCTGTGTGACGCTGGACCATGACTCTCCGCGTCCGAGGGCAGCAGGGGGCGGATCCGGCAGTGGACTCGCATGTTACCCTTCAGCTCCTATAACAACAAACCAGACGTAAGCCCAGGTGGCCCCCTCCTGAGAAGGCCACCCTGTCCTCCAACCTCTCCCCTCGAGCACACAGCCAGCACTTCTAGGTGCTTCTGGTTCCGCACAGAGCCGAGTGGTCGCACGTGGACCCCGGGCTGGGCACCTTGTGGCAGGCTGGTGGCTCCCGAAAGGGGACTGCTGTCTCTGTTAGATGCCCTCAAGTTGAGTAAGACTCTGACCCTGTCAACAGCCAGCCTGAACCCTGCCCTGTCCTGGGCCGTCCTTATCATCTCTCAGACACTCGAGCCTCTTGCTGAGGTCACTGTGTCCACAGGTCTCTTTGGGGATCTTCCGCTTCTTTGCTGACCCTCCAGCTTTCCAAGCATGATGTCCCTCTCCAAGGAATAGCCTCGTCTAACTGCACTAAGTTTAAAAGATGAAGCTTTGCCGTCCCTGCCTCCAAGTAGTACGCTGGCTTCACCCTCTCCTCTGTCTGTTCTCTTGACCGTCCATGGGATGTTCTCCAACACCGCAGCTCAAAGGCATCAGATCTTCTGCCATCCTTACTCAGGACCTTTGTCCATCGTCCTGAGCCCCACATCCACCTGAACACGCCACGCTGGGACAGTGTCAGGATAGAAGGGGAAGGCATCAGTTAGTCTGTGTAAGAGCATCTGATGGGCAAATGGCCAGGTGTTGAGCTGCTGGAAGGCTGGTGCTTGAAGCCACTGAAAGCCCAGTAGACCTGCCTCGTCAGGTGGACCCCACTCACAGTGGCCTGCAGGACAGAACAGACCTGCCCTGGGGACCCCAGGCTGTAAGTCCTGAGAGCAGGGTGGCTGCTGGGTTTAAACCACCAACCTCTTAGCAACGAGCGAGTGCCTGGGCACCAGTAACAGTCGGGGGGCCTGAGTCTTCCCCCATCTCTCCTGGGGCTCAGTCCTGCCGATGAGGACACTGTGGAGGGCCCAAGGACAGCTGCCAAAGCCTGAGGGTCACAGCCTAGCCCTCACACATGAGGGTCCACAGGCCTCACCGGCCCACTGGGACCCACCGTCAGCTGTGTGCTGTCCTCACGTCAGGGTCTCCCTTCCTCACAGCATGCCCACTGGCCGGAAGCCCATGCTAACACGGCTTCTCTGACTTGGCCATGTGCCTCACTGGGCACCTGCTGGCCTCCTTGCCACACCACCTAGACACTCAGCATCTCTCATTGGGGGTTGGGGCCCTGACCCCTGACAGGGTGCCCCCATGCCTCCAAAGCTCTATGGGTGCAGTCTGTCCACCTCAGATTCCCAGCCCGGGGTCCTCTGCCCAGATCCCCCGCTGCCTTCTGGGACCCTCTCCCGAGGCCACAGCCTGAGGACCTCTGCTCCAACCCCCTGCAGCCCTCTGGGACCCCCTCCTGAGCCCCCTGCCCACAGGAGAGGCTGGCAGGTGCTCACCACCAGCGTGTTGTGCAGGGCCCGCCTTTTCTGCCTCTCGGTGTGGTACCATGCACTCACATCCTGCAGGGATGCTTCCAAGCTGGCTGCTCGGGACTGGCAGGCTGGGGGTGGACACACCGGTCAGAGGGAGGGGACACAGGACCAGTTCCATGAGCGACCCCCAGGGGCTTGGGACATCCAAAAGAGGGGCCAGTTCACCAGTCAGAGGGAGAGGACACTGAGGACCAGCTGTGTGTGGCCCTGGGCACACGAGAGAGGATGTAAGGACAGGAACTGAGGCCTGGCCTGTGGCCTGCACTGTGCTATCCGGCCCTGCAGTGGCTGGCACCATGGTCACAGGAGCCACAAGTGGTTCTGGAGGCAAAGAGTCACTCACTCAGTCAATCTTGTCAGAAAATGCTCATGAAACCAGTTGGGGTGTTGGGGAACCAGATGGAGTGGGGCTGCTCCTTGAGTCCCGTCAGTCACGTGGAAACAGAGGCCACACCTCCTTGTCCTCACCAAGTCCAGCCTGTGATGTGAAGGATGTGAGCCAGCACACACAAAGCCCTGGACCTGTGGGGCGAGCCCCTCAACTCCTGACCACTGGGGACAGGTCAGCACCCTCAAGGGGACCACGTGAGCCACAGGTGACAGGGGGATGCTTTCAAGTGCAACTGCTTCTTGGATGGATTCTAGGACAGCACCCAGTTCAGGGTCCCAAAGTCATGTCCTCACAGCATCCAGGACAGCACCCAGTCCAGGACCCCAACATCATGTCCACCATGTCCTCACAGCATCCAGGACAGCACCCAGTCCAGGGTTCCCAGCGTCATTCCCTCCAATTCCCCCAACACGTCTAGGTTAGCACCCAGCTCACAGCCACTGTATCACGTCCACCAAGGTCCCATGGAATTCTATGACCAATAAAGTCCACAATTCCCAGTGTCATGACCTCCATATCCCATAGTATTCTAGGACAGCACACCACGCCACGGTCACCAGCATCATGTCTTCCACAGTGGGAACCAGGACCAGCACTCAGTCATGGTCCCCAGCGTCACGCCCCACAGGATCCGGACAGCACCCTGCCCACTAGGCTTCAGGTCGTGAGTGTAGTTGGTGGGAGGTACAGATGGAGGAGGGCTGCTAAGGTCACAGGGCTGGAGAAGGGATGCTTCGAGGCGCTGTGTGGTGCCGGGCAGGCCAGGCTGGTGATGGCTGCACACAGCAGGCACTTGGCGACGCTAGCAGGGACCATGGAGAAGGATGACCGCTGTCCGAGCGCAGGCCTCTGCTGTGCCGTCCCCACACCCCAGCCACCGTCCGAGCTGACTCTGCACACAGGCTCCAGGGGACGGGGGCTCAGGCCTCCTCTGGCTGCTCAGAGGGGAGACCTCGCTGGGCTCTCAGGCCCCCCTTACCCTGCAGGGCTTCACTGCAGAGCTGAGTACCAAGTACTGCGGCCACTACCTCAGAGGCCCGGTCCTGGACCGTCCCCTGGACATCCTTCAGCAAAGCCAGGAAAGAGGCTCGGAGCTCGCTGAGGTCCCACTTCAGAGCCTGCAGAATGAGAGCAGTCACACCATTATGTAACAGCCTATATTAATTATATCCCACTTTACAGTCATTGAGGAACCTGGATGGCACAGAACACAACAGCCTGCTAACTGAAGAGGTCGGCGGTTCAAATCCACCAGCGTCGTCACAGTAGAAAGCCAGGCAGTCCCCTCCCATTGGGGTTTACAGCCTTAGAAGCCTGACAGAGGGTCCTCAGGAGACAAAGGTGGGTTATAATTCCCTATGACTTGTTGTTAGGTGATGTTGACACAGCTACAACCCACGGCCACACAGTGAAAAAGAGCAAAGCCTCGCCCTGGTCCACCGGGTCTCACACTGCACGCCGTGCTCACACCCCGCCCTGACTTGCCCGGATCTCACACTGCATGCCGTGCTCACACCCCACCCTGACTTGCCCGGATCTCACACTGCACAGCATGTTCACACTTCACCCTGACTCTCCCGGGTCTCACAATGTACACTGTGCTCACACCCTGTCCTGGCCCGCCCCGTCTCACACTGCACACCATGTTCACACTTCACCCTGACTCGCCCGGATCTCACACTGCACGCCGTGCTCACACCCCGCCCTGACTTGCCCGGATCTCACACTGCACACCATGTTCACACTTCACCCTGACTAGTCTGGGTCTCACACTGCACACCGTGCTCAGGCCCCTGACAACTAACGTATCAACCTATCACGTTGAGTCTTCCTCTCCTTCACCTCACTGCCTCTCCCCACTTGATGTCTTTTCAGGACAGGATCTTCCTAATAACATGAACATGTTCTGAGTATGTGAGATGATGTTCTGCCACCCTTGTCCCCGAGGACCACCCTGAGGGCCCTTCCTCCAAGGACAGACACACTGTGTCCCTTAGGAGTCCATGGTGCACCCAGTTCTCTTCTCTAACCCCCAACTCAAAGGCATCAGTGCTTGTTGGGTCTTTCTCATTCACTGACTTTCAAGCATGTGAAGCAACTGAAAAGACCACGGCCTGGACCAGCTGTACTTTACACGCATTGTTAGGGACATTACAAACTTTATTCAAAAAACACAACAAATAATTTACAAATATAATTCCAAAGCCAATTAAGAAAAGGAAGTAGGGGGAGGGGAAGGTACAGTGTGGGCCAAGAGAGGAAGACAGGGAGAAGACAGCAGCGGAGGTGGGCCGGTGGGGTCACTGCAGAGGTTACCCACCCTGGGAAACTGTCATCAAGCGCCCTGACCCAGGAGCCCATAGCCCTTGCTCTGGGGATAGTGACAGGAGTCCACAGCCAGGAAGGATGTCTGATGCTTCCAGGCTCACTCAGCCCACCGCCTACACTGCGGCTCTGAGGAAGAAGGCTTGGGTGTGCTATCCCAGGGTCCAGGAAGCACAGCCGCTCGTGGCCAGCAGCCCTAAAAGAGGAACGCGTGTGTTACGTAGAAACACAGCTTATATTGGCGCACATTGAGGTTACAGCTATAGAAAATGCTGTGCTTGGACACAGAAGACCCTGTACCCCTGAATGAGGAAGACCCTCAGCTGGCCAACGAGACAGGGCACCTCTAAGGACTGCCTCCCACCCGGGCCTCGCCCTAAAGTAATCTGGAAGTTGCCAGAGCCTACCCTGCTGGTGGCAGAGCCTGGGGTTGGCAGGAGGGAGGAACACTATTTTATCTGCCTGTCTTCAGAGCCAAGCAGGGGTAAAGAGGAGGAATGGTCAGTGTTGGGGACCCCCTGGGAAAGGCACCGAGGAGATGGGAGGGAAGAGAAAAGCAGGCAAGGAGTTGGGGAGAGAAGGAGCAGGACTTAAGGGTTTGCAGGTTTTATTTCCCAGACTCCCCCTGCACGCCAGGAGCCCTGTGCTGCTGTGACCTGCCTCCACCTGACGGGCAGCTCAAGCCCGGGTGGGGCGGATGCCTCGGGTCTGCACTTCCAGGCTGGGTTCTGAGCATTTATATGTGCTCGTGCTATGGGGACAAATATTCATGTTTGAAGACTTTGTTTTTACAATTACGGGGGAGGGGGGAGAACAAACAAAAAACCTTCCCCAAATTCTTTCCTGAGATTCCAATTCCTCTGTGTCCCAGTTCCCAGGGCTCAGGCTGCCAGAGAGCTGCGGGATCTGGTGATGGTTGCACCTTCATCGTTAAGATGTGAATCTTTGTCCTTTGAACTTTTGGGGAGGTTCCTAACAGCTGATTTCCCCAATGCAATGCTGCTTTTGATTTCTTGATTGCTAGTCCCCTGAGTGAAATCACTGACGACGTCTGTCTTTCCTCCAGTTCCACACGCTGCCTATTGGTCCCGAGCTGAAGACTTGTTCTCTTGACAGTGAAGTCCCATCCATACTGGATATTCTGGTCTTTGATCTTCTGTAAGTGCTTCAAGTTTTCATTTCCTCTACCTAAGGTTGTGCCAGCTGATTGGTAGATTGTTGATGAGTCTTCCTCTGATCTTGATGCCACATTTTTTAAACAAAATCCACACTTTATTCAGATTGAAATAAACTGTACAAAATTAACTTTCTTCATCAAAAACAACAGTGATGATTTTTGTATTATTTGTAGGTTTTCCGGGTTTTGCTTGTAAGTCAAGATGAGGCAGTAGATATAATCACGAGAAGACAGAAGTTATCAGCTGTTAGAGTCCATGGCCTTACAGCCTGCTTAGACCATGAAATAGAAATGCTCACGATACACCTGCCAGAAGGCTGGTGAAGGTGTGGGCTCAACACAGGAATGGAAACAGCAGCAGCCGGACGTGCAACACTATGGTGAGGTCTCCATTAGCACTGTAACTGTGATTTGTTCCTTTAGGTTCATATGACAAAGACAATTCACACTGAAATCCATGTTTGGCAAGCTCAGCGTTTCCATCAATAAAGAAAGTGATGGGAAATATTGAAGGCTGGGCTCTATGAGAGTGTGGCATCAGGATTGGAGGTAGACTCATCAACAATCTGCATTATCCAAATGACACAGCCCTGCTTGCTGAAACTGAGGAGGGCCTGAAGCGCTTGCTGCAGAAAGTCAAGGACTGCAGCCTGCACTATGGATTGAAGCTCAATATCAAGAAAACAAAGATTCTCACCACTGGACCAATTGGCAGCATTATGAGAAATGGTAAAGAGATTGGGATTGTTGACAGTTTGCTTGGCTCTACAATCAACACTCTTGGTACCAGCAGCCAGGAAATTCAAAGATTAATTGTATTGGGGAAAGTCTGCTGTCAGAGACCTCTCCAAAGTCTTGAAGAGCAACAATATCAGACTAAGGTGTGCCTGATACAGGCCATGGTCTTTGCAATCACTTGCTATGCATCAGAGAGCTCGACAATGACTCGGGATGATAGAAGGAAAGTTGATGCCTTTGAGCTGTGGTGCTGGAGAAGAGTGTTGAACATACCATGGACTGCTAGAACAAACAGGTTCATCCAGGAGAGGGTGAAGTCAGGCTGCTTCTTGGAGGCAAGGATTCTGAAGCTCCATCTGACATACTTTGGACATGTTACAAGATGGGACCAGTCCTTGGAGAGGTACGTCTAGCTTGGGAGGGTGGAGGGACAGCACAGGAGAGGAAGACTCTCAATGAGATGGAATGATTCAGTCACTGGGGTACTGAGGATAGGTGTGTCAGAGACAATGAGGCTGGCACAGGCTAGAGCAGGGTTTAGGGCTGTTGTACACAGGGTCGCTATGAGTCGCACGCAACTCAACAGCACATAACCACAACAACATCATGAATTTTGGTCTGAGGAAGCCACAAACTGGGCATCCAAACCTGACACCTCATTTTTCTTCATGGAGCGCAGCTACCTGGTTGATTTGTCTAGCTCACAGACTGAACAGATGTGGAGAAACTATACAGCCCTGACACACATCTTTTCTGATTTTAAACCATGTCATGTTCTCCTGTTCTCTCCAGAAAACTGCTTCTTGGTCAATGTACAATTTTCACATGTTCCCATTCTTCTTAATGTTGTCCGTAATATGTCGTGATCCAGTCAAACACCTTCGTAGCACCTTTCCAGTGCTCTCTGCCTTTAGCCAAGATCAATCTGACATCAGCCATGGTGTCTCTCACTCCATGATCTCTTCTTGGTCCACAGTTCCTATGTTTTTATAAAGAAGAGCACAGTTTCTGTGAGGTGATACACCACCTGGAAAAAAGGAATTTGGCCTTTGGCCTTGGTTCTTGGGGTGAAGAGTAGATGCTGCCCAGCTCATGGGGATCCCTGGGGCTGGTGCTGTCCTGACCTCCTGCTGCAAGCTGCCACTCAGGAAAGGTGGTAAGAACCCTGAGACTCGGAGGGTCTTCCTGGTCAGTGTCTATGCCCGAGAAAGAGTCACAGGTCTCTCATTGGGACACAGAAGCTCTGTGCTGGGGCCATTGCCAGACCCCACCCATCAATCTTTCATTTATATCTTTCATAGTTGGAGTAAATTGGGAGCCATATGATTAAACTCCTTTTTGTGAGACTGTGTGTCAACTGCTACAGCAAATTATCCGTCCCCTGGGGCAGTGAGACCCAACAGGGGCCGCCGACCACCTGGCTGGTAATCTGAAAGGAGTGTTCTTCTCATGTGTGTGTGCTGATCCAGCCCCAAGTGACCGGCCCTGCTATCAAGTCGGCCCCTCTGCACTACAGAACTCCACAATGCCCAATCCGGTGCCACCCTTACCGTCTGTGCACTGCGGCTAGGGTCAGAGAAATGGGTGGACATGGGCAGCTGGCTTGAAAGAGGGTGTCCACCTAAAATGTGGGGGCAGACCCAGGCCTGGAGGGCTGCTGTCAGAGTGTGCAGAATGACAGCGGACAGTGAGGCCAGAGAAGTGACATGAGGAGGACCGAGTCCATTCCCCGCATCACACATCATCTTCATTAAAAACAAAGTTGTGTCACCTACATAACATAGTCCGATTCACTACTTCATCAAGTCCTTCAGAGACTGGCCCCTTCTCATAACATGCCCACGTGTTGAAGCCAAGTCTCTCCATCCCGTCTTCTAA